GAGCCAAGCGAAGTTGAAGAGAGTGAGGGCAAGTCGTTGTTTCAGTTGATTCAGCAAGAAGATGCCCAGCACGATCGACAGATGGAAGAGCTAGCAAGGAAACACCAAGTCGATGATGGCGGTGATCCCCCTCCAGCTCAAGAGGCGGCAACGCCCTATGAGCCAACGGAGGCAGAGAAGCAACTTCACCGTCTACACCACGCAAACTTTGAACCATGGTGTGAAACATGCGTTCAAGGACAGGGAAGAACAAAAAGCCGCACAAGAGAGCTACAGAAGATTCCAAGGATCACATCGTGTACTCAGATTATATGTTTTTCACCAAGGAGGGTGAGCAAGTTTCGAAAGACACCAAAGAGAAGGGATTGATCACAGTCCTCACTGCCATTGACAAGGATAGCCAGTATCCTTTCGCGTCGGTTGTGCCAGCCAAGGGCGCAGGCGCATTTGCCGTGGAAGCAATGGTTAAATGGATCAATGAGCTTGGATGGAACAAGGTGATCGTCCAGATCGATCAGGAGAATGCTCTGGGGAAACTCTATGAGAAGATCAAGACAAAGATCCCAGAGAAGATGACGATTCGCAAGTCACCTAAGTACAGCCCGCAATCGCTAGCAGATGGTGAGATGGTTAATGGGTTAATTGCCGGTAAGATTAGGACATGGATGGCGGAGCTAGAGCTTGGTTATGGGGAAAAGGTTCGTTGTGATGGTGTGTTGTTCCCATGGGTTGTCAGGCATACCGCATGGACAATAGCCAGGTATCACATGAACAAATCCAAGACCACGCCGCACCGCATCATCCATGGCCATGACTATACCGGTGAGCTCATTCCATTAGGGGAAACTGTGGTGGCAAAGTTTTCGGCAAATAAGCAGAAAGCAGCACTGCGTTGGACAAAAGGGATCTACGCAGGGAAGACACTCAACTCAGATGAGCATCTTGTGCTCACGAAGTCAGGGACTGAGACAGTCCGAACGGTGAGAAGACTGCCAGCAGGTTCTCAGTTCCAGAAGGAGGCTCTGGCTGAGGCCAGAGGCGTCCCTTGGAACACGTTGGCTGGAAGCGAACAGCTCTATCCAACGGAAGAGAGGTCAAAGCCGGTGGCCAAGGTCACTGAAGAGGCAACCTCTGAACAACTCTTCGACTTCGGGGACCAGGCCGAAACAGAGGGGACAGCCCCACAAGTGGTCATTCTGCCAGCACCCTCTTCGGAGGGTTCGCTAGCAGAACCAGCCAGCAAGAAGGCCAGGACGGAAG